TATTAATCTGTTACTTGAATTTCTAAAAATATTATAAATAAATTAAACAAAATTGCTCATACAATGTAATTACGTTATACATATATCTGTGCTTTGGAGACACGTCAAAATGTATTGAAAATATAACGAAATTGATATTTTTAAGAGAAAGTTTTTACACAAATTGAAATAAGATTTACATTATAAAAACAATTTTTTTTTTTAATTAAAGTTCGTCCCTTAGTAATGTGTATCGGTTTTTCGACGGTCCTAACTTTTTAAATGTACTTTCGGGTGGCGTGGTGACTTTTCTTATCACATTTCCTGACTCTGCTTCGTCATCAGGCCCATAATGAAATTCGCGATGTAATTTACCCGAATACAGATCCTGAATAAATGCTTTTAATTTACCAGGCACTGTCATATCCTCGAATTTTGGGAATAAATACATATGCCGAAAACTATCGATAGCTATAAGAGGTAAATCACTTTCACTTTTACCTAAGTGATGTAAAGGATGTGCAAACTTTCTACCGTCGGCTGTCAAGAAGTTAATATTTTCTGTAACAAAAATATTTAAGTTATAGTGTTCCGTTTCTTCTCCTTTAGTTTATAATAATAATAAGAAATCAGAGTCAAATAGGGGCAAAAAAAAATTGTTATAGTAAAACCAACACCAACATTTTACATTTTACTACAATAAAACGTTTTGCCCCTATTTTGCTCGGATCTCTTATTACTATTTATGTTACAGTTTATGTATAGTTATAGATATAGTTCAGATAAAAAATCTCATAAAAGTATTGAAAGTAAGGAATGAATACAAATTGAGTTGTTGAAGAAATTATAATAGCAAAGTGTTCAACCCAATTTCGAATTCATTCATTGACTTTAATTTGTCCAAATGTCTATGAAAAAATGTACTGCATCACGTACATGAATGATGGCAGATGAGAACAAAATCCAGACTTAAGTTTAAAAAAAACGACTGTTTCACTGTTATTAAAAGCTCAATATATCAATAGTATTAAAATTAGGTAAATAATTACCGTTGACCAGCTTATTCAACAATTTATAATCACCTCATTAGAAAAATTATACACAGTTAACATTAAGTAGTTTGGTTATAATGACTATTTACTTTACTCGTTTGTAAACATTAAGTTTTTTATACTTCATAAAACTAATTTTACGCTACTTAAAAAATCTATTGTTTCTAATAATGTTTACTTATTGCTTGCTCCTTGCCACGAAAAAACAAAATTCAATTAAAAAAAACAATTTTATATAATTTTCTATTAAAAATACATACTAACACAAATTACTCCGACTAAATTTTATCACTTTTTTTATTATAACTAAAATGTGCTACATCTATTATTTACATGCAAAAATGGAATTTGCATAATGCACATGACTTTCTATTAGAGATGACACATTTTGTTGGGCTTAAACTTTCTAATTTTATTTGAGCCACAAATTAACATATTTTCAATTCTCCACTTTCAGCATAATACTTTTCTAATTAATTGCACTCTCATTTAACACAACAGACCATTCATTAATTACTACAGGGAAAGGCAAAAGTGCATGTTTAAGTAATCATGGAATTCATAAAGTTCATCTTTTTAAACATCAGCAAAACAAAACTTACGTTTTTCACTTAGAAGTTCTTTCTGCACAACTTCATTGTACTTTTTTATTGATTCATCATCTCCTGGTTTGTGAAAGAGAATCAAAAAGGGAAGGCCTTCTTCAGTTAATTCCTCAGCATTTTCAAATGTTATTTCTCTCACCAATGGAACACACTTATCTTGAGCCCAAATATGTAGCTCATCAAAAATGTTTACATTTCCTGTATAAGTTTCATCAGTATCAACAGATCTTTTTTTATCAGGCCTAAAAACTATTACAGGTTGACCTGCAGGATGCATATTTAAGGATGCTTCCCCAAAACCTACATAAAATATGCAGTCATCTTTTAAATTTGATGCAACACGTCTAAATATGTTATATTCAGGTTGATCTCTTCTATCAAAGTATCCTGTGGAAAAAAGATACTGTAAATCAGTTTAAAAATATTAATTAATATACAATAAAACATACCTATAATTAGCCTTTTATCAGTATCTATTGAAGTAAGCTCCTTAAGATGTGCAAACTCTTTGACAGGGTCTTCTAGCTGCTTTTTAATGAATGTTACAAATGCCTCTGTAGATCTCTGACCTCTATACTCTCGTTTAGCTGGCTGACCATTTCTTATTATTTTTAAAGTTGGATATTTTGTGATGTGAAACCTTGTAGCCACTTCATTTTCCTTATCACAATCTACTTTACCTAGCACAACTCTTCCTGCTTCAGGAAACTCTTCTTTTATTTTATCAGCTGCCTCATCAAAGACAGGCATCAAAATGTTACTAAATCTACACCACTCTGCATAGAAATTTATAAACACTAATTCATTAGAAGCTGAAACAAACACCGTTGTTATTCATATATCTAGGAAGATTATATTGTATTTCAATAATACCTAGAGTCATATCAATATTTGATTGAAGCAACTGCACTGCTTCACTATCAGTAGGGTTGTGGAAAACATAACTAACCTATAAATATAAAAAACATTTCGGAACGATACTTGTTCAGATAATTTTAATTATCAGCCTTATTATCTTAAATAATTTAAAATAAATGCATTTAAAGTTGTACAAGTCTGTTAAGAGGCATTGGATATCGGTATACTTCATAAAAACCATAAGCGGAACATACCAAAATAAATGTAAAAAGTGTGACTTTAAAGCTTCCTAGGGGTACAACAACATCCATAATTTTGTACTATAATTTTTTGTAATAAGTTAACACGGTTTTCCGTGAAATTTGAATAATTTTTTTATTTGTGCACATATAAGTTTCACGTAGAACGACTGTTGCCGACTGACATGACTATAGATAAGACACGACTACCTAGTCGTTGGCAAATTGACGTTGTCTCACTGTGAACGTCTCTGAAATATTTGGCCAGTTTTATCTATGGGCCAGTCTCTGGTTGTCAAGTTACCAAGACCATTAGGGCGATTTTGCAACCAATGATGGGAATACAGTCCATATTTTTTTTTTGTATTTTATTATTTATTTTTTTTGAGTTATAGTGTTCCGTTTCTTCTCCTTTAGTTTATAATAATAATAAGAAATCAGAGTCAAATAGGGGCAAAAAAAAATTGTTATAGTAAAACCAACACCAACATTTTACATTTTACTACAATAAAACGTTTTGCCCCTATTTTGCTCGGATCTCTTATTACTATTTATGTTACAGTTTATGTATAGTTATAGATATAGTTCAGATAAAAAATCTCATAAAAGTATTGAAAGTAAGGAATGAATACAAATTGAGTTGTTGAAGAAATTATAATAGCAAAGTGTTCAACCCAATTTCGAATTCATTCATTGACTTTAATTTGTCCAAATGTCTATGAAAAAATGTACTGCATCACGTACATGAATGATGGCAGATGAGAACAAAATCCAGACTTAAGTTTAAAAAAAACGACTGTTTCACTGTTATTAAAAGCTCAATATATCAATAGTATTAAAATTAGGTAAATAATTACCGTTGACCAGCTTATTCAACAATTTATAATCACCTCATTAGAAAAATTATACACAGTTAACATTAAGTAGTTTGGTTATAATGACTATTTACTTTACTCGTTTGTAAACATTAAGTTTTTTATACTTCATAAAACTAATTTTACGCTACTTAAAAAATCTATTGTTTCTAATAATGTTTACTTATTGCTTGCTCCTTGCCACGAAAAAACAAAATTCAATTAAAAAAAACAATTTTATATAATTTTCTATTAAAAATACATACNTGCAACACCAGTTTGGTCTAGAAAAACTCTAATATTTAAAAAATGAGCAAATGCCTGCAAGGTTTTCTTAAAAAATATTTTACGCTTAAGGAAATGTAGAAAATTAAATTGGTAGTACACTTTGAAAAAAGTATTTTGAAAATACGTATTTTGCATTTAGCATTTAAAATACAAAAGGGAAATCTATTTTGTATTTTACATTTGAAATAACAAATAAAAAAGTATTTGCATTTTGCATTTGAATACTTTTAAAAACCATTTTGCTCGTTTGCAAATGTATAATCCTGAGTGATTATTTAGATTGATACTTTGTCTAATGTGCCTAAAAGTGACCTCACATTACCATTTTAAAATTTTACTATTTTACTTAATTTTGGGCGTTTTTAATTTCATTTTATTTTGTAATTAATTAAGTTATGTAGTTTTTTTCAGGGTGGCGGTCAAATAGTTCCACAACTATATGTTTTTTGTAACATTTCGCTTTATTCAACCATCTTCAGACTTTTGAAATGTTACTGCTTGTACACAAACATTCTATCATGTTGAACAACTACAGATATGCAGGTATGCAGTTATTCAATATGATAGAATGTTTAAAAATAAGTTAATATCTGTGTACAAGCACTTCAAAAGTCTGAAGATGTTTGAATAAGCCGAAACGTTACAAAAAGATATAGTTGTGTAATTACTGCCACCCTGGAAAAAATTACATAATTTGATAGTAACGGTCAGGAATACAAGTTAAAGTAATCAATTGAGGTGTGAATACATGCTATTGTATACATATAAACATTAGGTATTAACAAAGAGAAGACTTCATTTTAATATGCGCGTGTTTACTAGGAAAACTAAATTAAATCTGAATTCACCCTTTCATAAGATTTCATTTTGTAGAAACATCAAAAAATCTTGGATGCTACATGTCATGGAGCATTTGGTATATCAATCCTTATTCACTCCAGGGCTTGGCGGTACCTACCTGAAGGAATAAGAAAGCATAAAAGTGCCTATTTACTACTGAACAGAAAGGCAGTGTGTTGCTGTTGCTAATGGAAGGATTTATGTCAATGAATAAATTGGTAGGTTACAACATTAATTCATTAAATTACACCAGAAAGTTCAACAAACTCCTAAATATTTGCAACCTACTCTCAACAGTTACGCTTTAAATGTCATTTCAGAAATGTCAAAGGCAGAACAGCAGAATTAAGGGATAACCATGTTCTTTCCCTCATACAACGACACAGCATATATATATATATTTTAAAAGTTGTTATAGGAGTATGCTACAGAAGCAGAAGAGCAGCGAAATGGAGAAAACATTTTTTATTAAATATTTGGCTTTTTGAACACGCCACATGTTTATTACATTGGCTATCAATAGATAATAAATAATAATTTATCCTTTCGCCTATGTCTAAATTTAGCAAAATTACTAACACCACTTCGAGTTAATTAGAATTAATTTTTGATTTTGTATTTTTGTATAGTTAAGCTAATTTTTATTTCAACAACTTTCTTGTAATATACACTTGCTTTGGGATGACATCCTTGGATTTGATAGACAAACTACTTACCGATGGAATGTTTGCAGCAACAGACGCATTTTTATTTACAAGTTACAAGAATTCTTCTAATGAGCTGGTCAAAAAATTCATAGAATACAGATACGAACAATGGTAATTATTATTAATAATAAAATAATAACAAATCTAGTGAACATATAACTAATATTAAGTTGATTCAGCAGGTTTCCATTAAAACATAGTAAATGTATATGGATAGGGCAAATCAAACGGACTGAAAACATGGAGAAGCAAAAAGGATTCTTTCTCTTGGGTATGGAAAGGGACCATTTGTGGAAAGGGTAGGCAGTTTAATTATTTTATGAAGTTGTATTTACGAAATGGTTTGTGATTTTCCAAATCTTGTATTCCATTTGTTTGACAATAGTTAGTACTACAGTTTTTTACTCTTCTGAATTGTAACAGTTAATTATTGATTTTAATTAATAATATATTTTAATACATAATATTTAAAATGAAACTAACATTAAATTAGTTTAACAGGTTGCCATTTAAACACATTAAATGAACGAGAAGACAAAAAAGGATTTGAAACCTGGACAATTGTAGGAAATGTATGCAGTCCAATTTACACTATGTAAGGTTGCAATGCAATGCTCTGTCAGTCTGTTATATGACTTATTTCACCATCAGTGGTATTGTTTTTCTTTTTATAAACATCTATTATCGGAGGCACTTCCCTGATATCTACAGTTAGGAGTAAAAAAGCACCATATAGTCATTCACTAGGTAAGCGATTATTATTCCATTATTTTCAATTTAGTTTTCATAATTTGCCATCTCTGGCATCTTTGGTTTTACTTCTAACACTTAATCATTGCCCACATCATAAATTGACGTTATGATGCATTTATGGGCTTTCTTTTTTACAATTATCTATTATTCACAGCATAAGTTGATGTTAACGTGCATCTGTAATTGCATCTCTTACCTTTAAATTACTCTTAACATTTCTTTATGTCATGAATGAAATTGGGATCTCGTCTTCATGTTGTAATTTAGCTATTTAACTTGTTTTTTGGTGCATATTTACTTCGATCTTTAGTTGATAGTGTAATTAATATTTTCTTTTGTTCACTTCCACAGATCTTCCAACAAATGCGAGAGAATTAAAGTTCAGGTTGTTGGTCATACTGAAAACACCAATATTTACAATGGTGTTGTCTTTCCTGGACTATATTCTTGATTTGCTGTTTTCGTCTTCATCTTCACCTTGCAACATTTTGATTTCCACTGAAACAACAAGTTTTCTGCTATGGTATTCCTCCTAAATTTGGTTTGCTTTTCACACTTGCAAATTTTGAAATGTCACTGTTCATGTTCATGTCGGAATGTTACTGGAATGACTGCTGTTCATTAAGGTGAGAATATTTGATATAATTAATTTTAATTGATCTTTATTAATCTGTTACCACCCTATTTGTTTCAGATCGACAGAGGGGAAGAAAGAAGAAGATCCCGTTGTTAAAATACTTGTCTATTTTATATGTTTTTTTAATTAAAATTAATTGTTTATTTTGCATGTTTTTTATAGTTGTATTTGAATCATTTTTTTATTGTAGATGTTTTTATTTTTTAGTAT